AAATTTATATTTGTTAGTTATTATTAACCTACAGGTACTTCAAATTTGGTTGAAGGTAAGGGACTAAGGGTGTGGGTGGCAATATGTGGAGGGGTGGGGACAAGCTGTACGATGTCAATACAAGTCAATATTGAAGGCACACTTTCTATAGAAGCAATGGCCAGGGCCACAACAAGAGAAAATAAATTTGACATCGATCACTTTAAGTAGTAGGCCTAGTCAGTCTGTGTATCAGGGTGTATTGAGAAAGTCTAGGTGATAGACAAATAATGAATGAAAAAAGTTGATCACATCTCCAAGTAGTGAAAGACCTACTGCTTATTTATTTATATTTTTAAAAAAAAGCAATCTTTTTTAATCAGTTACGTTACGAGCTAGAAAGAGCAAGGTGGTTTACTATAATAATAACAATATAACACTTCCCTTGATGCTATGATTAGATGATAAATTTTTTTATTCCATTTTATAATTTGACGAGATGGGTAGGGCTAATTAGTGGTAATTACGGGTTATTTTAATGATGAGTTACCTACCTAGTTTGATAATATATACAGGGAGTGATGATAACTGAATCCTGTTTAGTCATTGTATATACATGATATCATTTCCTACATTCAAGAGGACAACAGAATCAGTGCAATATGAGTTTTGAGATTTCATTCTGGCTCTTTGAGAGCTGCAGTGGCTCAGCTAGTTGATATTTACTTGCTTATCGGTTATTAATCCATGGTCTGCAATCAATAATCGATCTCAATTTGGTAATCGATATCCAGCCTTAATCCAGGATGTCTGTTGGTTGGATTGTATTTTGATAGGTAAAGATATATATATGTTATTTCTTGCTTGTAGTGCAGATGGTATGGACATTGTCACTGTAACCTTATGTTAAAACAATTCAAGACATTAAGTACCGTGCCATGCCTATAACTATCTTATTTTTATTTTGACTAAGTTTTGTTTTCATTTACAAGAAGCAAAGTTAAAAAAAAGTATGTGACATAAGTAAAGAATGTTTGGTTTAAACAAACTTGTTTTTAGATAAAAGAAAAAAGACTGACTATAAAACAATAGTGTTAAGATATGGTAAAGATTAACATTAAAACAATAGGATCAAGTACTGCTCTCTGACTCACACCAAACTTCAACCTAGTTCTCCACTTCCTATCTTGCCTAATCTTATTGTCACTTCATTTTATACGTCATTAATATCTCCAGTCAGAATTTTAGTTTTGGATAATTTTGATGTGGTTATTGTGAAAGGTAAAGAAAGTTAAAAATTATCTGAGAATGAAAGTGAAAACTAAGGAAAAAAATTTTAACTTGTGATAATCATATGATATGTGTAATTATATTAAGTAATTCATAGCATATTTTACTTGTATTTGAGTGAAAGGGTCCATTTTACAAACACTGGCTGAGATCTGAGGACAGATCTATTGAGAGAGATGGTTTATTAGTTATAGGTGGAGTTAGTTTGTATCACATTGTAGTGTTATTTTCAATGGTTTAGGTGTTTTAAGAAGGGTAAGCTTGAAATATCTTCTCAGTTTTAACTCATTTTAGTGATAATATCTTGATAATAAATCCCTATGGATAAAGCTAATTGTTTAATATAATAGTTGACATTTTGATTTAAGATTCAAGATAATATACGGCTACAGCTACTTGATATCAGGGCACGGCATATCATTTTTTTATTAAGTTAAAATATTTGAATATTCTTTTTTTTTTTCAAAATTTGAAAGTGAACAAGGTTAATTATGACAAGTGAAAGTCAATATGTTGTAAATGTTATCTGTACCTATCTATAACTATATATTATAACTAGGATAGGTCATAGGTCATGTCAATATTCTTAACCTAATCATAGATAATATACAATACGTTATTAACTAAACATTAGATATCCTCCGTGAGACGTATGCTTTTTTTATCATATCTTTTGGTGGGAGTTGATTTTAGTGATATTTTTTGTGGTCATGATTTGTATGCTGGATATCAAGACTACGCAGCTTTGTCTTTCGTGGAAGTTGAATTAATGAAACGTAATTTTATTTAAAGTAAGGTTTCTATAATGTTAAAATATGATTTAAAATTGAATTTTATTTGAGACTTTGCTCAGTGTAGAGTATTATTCAATGTTCAATGTCAATGTTCAGTTGTATGTTATTTAAATACAATAAATAAATCAATCCTCTAGTTTAGATTAAGGTAGGGACATTGTTTTTAAGAGATATTTTCAGCTAAAACATTAATCTATGATGTGACATTTTGATGTATCCATTGTAATTATATTAAACTGTTAATGATGGTCATAGTGTCAATATCAGCTTTACCTGGTGTTAGGGTGTATTGAGACAAGTCTCAATGAAAGCACTGGCCTAGGTCTATTGATTATGTGAACCTGGTGATAGAACTGAGTTTTAATCATCAACAGGCCTTTTTCAGAACTTGTCTAGGCCTACAATTTGATGAAAATGTCCTGTGGAATTTGAGATTGTCGTTTCTTCAGGAGTTTTACCTGCATGTATATGTCATTAATGAGTTCTATCAGCTGGTGAATAGATTATTATTATGAAAATTGGTTTCACAATTCAAATATGAGGCATTTTTTCGTTTCCATTCCTAAAATGCATCATGTATTTAATTTAAAACTTGTCAAATCCAAATTAAGAAATGAATATGACTGAAGGCTTAGGAATGACAAAAACATTACACTTTTATGATTTCAATTTATTTATATCATATTTATTGCTAAACTATTTACCACAGGATATGATGAGACAGTCTTATTAGCGTTGACAATGACGTTACTGTAGTGTATAACATGAATTTCGACCAATCGATGCCAAGTTAACTATAGCTCTCACTCGTTCCTTCAGTGCAAAGCTTTAGATGGAATGGGGGACCAGTTTAATATTTTGCTTGTCTTGTAGCACATGGCAACCCTAAACTTGAAGGATCCCAATTGGAGATCATTAAGGATAATTATTGGATAATCATAATAGTGACAAATGAGATAATCTTATCCTACTGCCTAATACAATATCTAATCTCTAATCTGATTGGTTACATCTGCTCAATTATTTACCTCTTTTGTTTTAATGATTTTAATTGGTTAAATAAGAATTGAAGAAAGCTTGACTACTGTTAAACATCTGTTTGTGCTCTTTATTTTGATTAGGGTCTAATAATAGGGGTTATTACAGTGTGTGGGTGGTATAGGGGTATTTAGGGGGTGGGTCAATCAATCAATAAGGTCAATGTGAGTAAACATCATTATAAAGACATAAAGACCTCTAACAGTTATGATATGTGTCATTTGAAATCTCGAAAAGCTCATGTCAATTTGCTGTAAGTTATAAATTTTCAATTTTGTATCACTTTGTGATTATTTGGAATCTTAGATGGGAATATATATATGAACACTGATTTTGTTACTTCCTTACATGGCATTTAGTTATTGAGGTAGGAATATATGAACACAATTTTAGGGATAACAATTACTGTTAGTTTGAAATGATTTTGAGATAATTCAAGAAGGTTTGATAATGTTTTGTAATTTTTTAAATTTTCATTTCATTCTTGTATTTTTGAGGCAAACTATTGTTGGAAGATACAAGTGAAATATGTAATCTAATAAAAGTTGTGAAATGAATTTTGCCTAAGGATTAAGGAATGCGAGAAACTTTTCTTTTTCAGTATATGAACTTATTCTATGAGCTTAATTGTTAATTCATATCATATTTTGTATAGCATGATCAAAGTATGACCATGTAGATATACCTTTTTATCCTGTAGCATTAGACTAGATAGATGGTAGCAATACAACACAAAAACAATTTTATACTTCTGCTAAACATTTTAAATTTTATCAGATAATATAATTTTCTTAAATCTAGATTTATCTTACGCAAGTTATTCGAAAATAAGACCTGGATTTGAAATTGTTCACCACCAAGTTGATGTTTTTGGCACTCACCATTTTGACTTGTCACAACTAGAGCCTTAAATAGTTATAATCTAACATTGTTTAGAGATTGTTTATAACAAGTATAGACTTATTATCATAAAAACTATATATTTTATACACTAAACTAAATTTATCACATATTTTAACATATTCAATTCTCTTCTTAATGCATTCCATTACTTATTTTCACTAAAAACATTTTTTTTTTTTATTTCTGAAAACATTGCAACCTTATATTAATCATAATCATTGTAACATTTTTAATCTTACAACAAAACTTAAACCATTCTAAATCACATTACAGCATTGTTACATACTTAAATCACACTTTACATATCTTAGAATTCTTCCATATTTAGTGTATGAAGTACCTTCATATTTTGCATGTTAATCATATATGGTTGTTTTGTCTATTTTCAGATAAATAAACGTCGTGGATCTAGTCCTATCACCCATCATCTCGCTCATAGTTAGATTATATCTCTACAGACAACTGCTTGCTCAATATAATTCATGTGCATTTCATGTGCATGTTGCTCATCACTGACCCAGAGGAATCCAGTATTTATAGTCTGTATATGAAGTGAAAATAGATAAACTAGTTATAACTTATTGTGTTTCCAGACATTTACTCATTACCAAATATCATGCATGTGAAATAAGGACTATTTTTTATTGTGACTATAAACGTACGAGGCGATATACCCTCATGTGATATGAACCTGTTTTTATAAGTGATAATATATCGGAATTGACATTAATAAGATGGGCGCTAATGAATCGCAACATGTAAGGGGAGACAATTGGAGAGCAGACGCAGAGAGACGACTTGTGTTTAATAATAACAGTACCTCATACCGAAAGGGACATAATAAACCAGGTAAGGCTTTTATTTATATTAGTTTACATAATCTGTAATTCATTGAATTCAATATTAGCAACGGAATAGTGCATAACAAAATATCCAACATTAATTTAAATATTTAAATTAGATGCCAAACCCTGTATATATCCTTTTCAAATTTTTATGTCAAATTTACAATATTTTGCCAAATTGAAAGAAATTTTGTTGACCTTGAGTATTAAAAGATTCCCTTTTTTTTCAGGTAAACCTCTGCCACCTCCAAGTAAACCTCAAGCCAGTGATATTACCCACAATTCACTAGTGTTAACATGGAATGCAGCCAAACATGACGGAAGTATTTTAGCGTATACCGTGGAGATGTGTCACATGTCTGACAATCGTTGGTTAGTTCTGACCTATAGTTGCCAAGGGTGTTTATATCAAGTTCGTAATCTACAACCGGATCAAATCTACAAGTTCCGTATCAGAGTCGAAAATATTTACGGTCTCAGTAAACCCAGTGCCGAGTCTGATCCAGTGCAGACGCATATTTCAGAGTTAGACATGCCATATCAACATTCAGAAGACAGGTCTGAACAGAAGAAATCCAAACCAGTGCGCAGACGTCACAGTTTTAACGTCCCTCTAGAGGGCGCTGTTGTCAGTATTTTAAATCATTCAGATACTGTAGTGAAAGCATCAACTTGTTTGAAAAACTTTAACAATCCTGGAACACAAAGTGCTGAATCAACGTTTCAAAGGGGCTGTTTCCGAACGTCTTTAGAACCTTGCAGGAAACGATCACTATCTAGTTTGTTGCCAGGCACCAAAACTGACTCTATTGCTAGGATGCGAGATTCCTATCGTAAGAGTAACACGTCACGATCGTCCATTTTTAACATGGCCGGTGTCAACAGAAGTGCAAACAATTCCCGTTCAGATATTTCATGTAGTGCTCATACCTCACATTCAGACGTTTCTGTGATTACAGACTTTTCCAAATCGGACATGTCCAGTCCAGACTCAGTAGTTGATAAACGTTTTTCAAACAGTAGTGACAGTCAGACCAGCTCAGCAGGCTCAGATGAAGTAGATCGTGGGACAGACAGTGATTGTGGTGATGTTTGGGAGAAAAAAGACAATTTCCGATCTGCATTGACGGACAATTCAAAAAATGTGTTGTACTCAGACACCAACAGTGAAATGAATTATCAAAATCGCTACGGTATTGACCAATCACATCACTGGAATCATTCAGAACTAACCAATGATCATCGAGACAGCTGTAAATTAAATCTACGCGATTTACGAACATTAAGACACATGCTTCAATCTTCTGATATTATTGTTAAACCAAATCCGTCAGACTACATCGAATATAACTCTAGTGGAAGCCATCTTACACATAAACTTTCCACCATTGACGATGATGAGGAAGAGGAATTTGTGAGAGTGACAACCTTATAAGGAGTTGTAGCCCATTATAAGGATAAAACAATAACTTTGTGCCATTTTTGACTTTTGTTTTGTTTGAATATTGTTATATTAATGTGATACAATGATTGGATGAAATATTCACGAAGTGCGTTTTCTGTTTAAAGAGGACTATTTTATATGAATGTTATTTTTGATATCCGCAAATATTTTGCTTCTTTTTATACGAATGTTAAGGATATATTATGGGATATTTTGTGATTCCTCAGGAACGAAACAAAATGACCCTGATCATTCCTAATATGATTAATTTGAATATTTGTTCAGATTATGATACCCATTAAAAAATGTCTCCACGACCAAGATTTTACGTACACACGATTTCTAATATGGATTCCGTTTTGAAGAAAAACGAGGCAATGAAAGATCTAATGACGTGTGAAGTGTTTTGTTATTCAAGTTGATCACAGATCAACGTTAGATGTGTATAGTTTAATTTTAGCAATATTTATTACCTTGACAGCCATAGAACAGATTTCAATCTGAAAATATTTAATCCAAAATTTCGTAAAAGAACTGATAAATTTATGAAGAAAATATATTTTATTTCGTTAACATTGAACTTGACATCAGTTGTCTATTAAAATCATTTTGTTTAATAAAGGTGAATTCCATCCCTGACAGTTTTGGAATTTAAGTTTTCGAATTTCAAGATGTTTTTAATAGATAATTGATTATTTACAACGAAATTTTTAAAATCTTAATTTTGATGTGAACATGTCTACCCTGATCAAAGAATGAAAACATCAAAAATAAGATTTTAAGTTCTGAATTTTAATATATTTTTGCATAATAAAAAAACAATACAGGTTCAGATTTGTAATGTGTTATTCAAGAATGCATTTTCCATTGCATAAGATATAAAGGGTGCTAAATGCACATGCAAATCTAAACTTGTGCTAAATTTACTATCAGCATTATAATATATCTATATATACTACAGTTTATAGTTTTATATACCTGGAATAAGTTATAGATGAAAATAGTTGAACAGTTTTAGAGTAATATATTGAAAACAAAAATTGTTGTTTTATGTGTATTTTGAATAATTTATCAAATTTTTTCTTTTGTTTTCTACTAAAATGAATAATTATTTTAATTTTTTTCTAAGTTTTTAAAACACAGTGGATGAAACATTCAAGACAGTTTTAAATGATTTGAAATTTGATATTTTTTTCACCAAACCCTCATAAAATTTGAAAAAAATATGAAAATTGTAAAATCCTTGAAAGTGATGGAGGGCCATAAATAACCCTGGAGTATGTTGGTTTAAAAATTTTGAAATCTTTATAGTACCTTATAAACCTTTATTTTATTCTGCAGACTTTCTATATTTGTAATTTCTTGAATAATTTGCTCTTTTGTTGTTTTGATTCTATGAACTTTTTTTGTTTTCAATAAAAATTTGATACCCTTGACGTTTTTTTTTTATATTTCCAAAAATATGGATTTTTGCAAATCAGAGGTGTCAAACCACTGTGTGACAAGTCAAACACCATGTAAGTCATGACGAACACTTTGAGTCATGTCAAACACTGTGTGAGTCATGACAAACACTGTGTGAGTCATGTCAAACTCTATGTGAGTCATGTCAACCACTATGTGAGTCTTGTCAAACACTGTGTGAGTCGTGACAACTACTATGTGAGTCTTGTCAAACACTACGTAAGTCATGTCAAACACTGTGTGAGTCATGTCAACTACTGTGTGAGTCTTGTCAAGCACTGTGTGAGTCATGACAAACACTATGTTAATCATGTTAACCACTATATATCCATGGTATGTTTGACATGCTATTCTTGGTATGTTTGATATTATACCTATGGTGTGTTTGACATGCTATCCATGGTGTGTTTGACATATCCATGATGTGTTTGACATGCTATCCATGGTGTGTTTGACATGCTATCCATGGTGTGTTTGACATATCCATGATGTGTTTGACATGATATCTATGGTGTGTTTGACATGATACCTATAGTGTGTTTGACATGATACCTATAGTGTGTTTGACATGATACCTATGGTGTGTTTGACATGATACCTATAGTGTGTTTGACATGATACCTATAGTGTGTTTGACATGATACCTATGGTGTGTTTGACATGATACCTATGGTGTGTTTGACATGATACCTATAGTGTGTTTGATATGATACCTATAGTGTGTTTGATATGATACCTATGGTGTGTTTGACATGATACCCATGGTGTGTTTGACATGATACCTATAGTGTGTTTGACATGATACCTATAGTGTGTTTGACATGATACCCATGGTGTGTTTGACATGATACCTATAGTGTGTTTGACATGATACCTATAGTGTGTTTGACATGATACCCATGGTGTGTTTGACATGATACCTAGAGTGTGTTTGACATGATACCTATAGTGTGTTTGACATGATACCTATAGTGTGTTTGACATGATACCCATGGTGTGTTTGACATGATATCTATAGTGTGTTTGACATGATATCTATAGTGTGTTTGACATGATACCTATAGTGTGTTTGACATGATACCTATAGTGTGTTTGACATGATACCTATGGTGTGTTTGACATGATACCTATAGTGTGTTTGACATGATACCTATGGTGTGTTTGACATGATATCTATGGTGTGTTTGACATGATACCTATGGTGTCAACCACTATGTGAGTCTTTTCAAACACTATGTGAGTCATGTCAACCACTATGTGAGTCTTGTCAAGCAGTGTAAGAGTCACGACAACCACTATGTGAGTCTTGTCAAACACTACGTAAGTAATGTCAACCACTATGCGAGTCATGTCAAACACTATGCGGATCATGTCAACCACTATGCGAGTCATGTCAACCACTATGTGAGTCTTGTCAACCACTATGCGAGTCATGTCAACCACTGTGAGTCTTTTCAAACACTATGTGAGTCATGTCAACCATTATGTGAGTCTTGTCAACCACTATGTGAGTCTTGTCAACCACTGTGAGTCTTTTCAAACACTATGTGAGTCATGTCAACCACTATGTGAGTCTTGTCAAGCAGTGTAAGAGTCACGACAACCACTATGTGAGTCTTGTCAAACACTACGTAAGTAATGTCAACCACTATGCGAGTCATGTCAAACGCTATGCGAGTCATGTCAACCACTATGCGAGTCATGTCAACCACTATGTGAGTCTTGTCAACCACTATGCGAGTCATGTCAACCACTATGTGAGTCATGTCAAACAATATGTGAGTTATGTCAAACACTACGTAAGTCATATCAAACACTATGTGAGTCTTGACAAACACTATGTGAGTCATGTCAACCACTGTGTGAGTCTTGTCAAGCACTGTGTGAGTCATGACAAACACTATGTTAATCATGTTAACCACTATATATCCATGGTATGTTTGACATGCTATTCTTGGTATGTTTGATATTATACCTATGATGTGTTTGATATGCT